GGAATATTCATCTTCATTAAGAAATTCAGAAACCCTTTGACTATTTGCATCAGGTAGCAAGTCTTGATTGTGGAGCCAAACTGGATACTTAACATCAGGTATACTAGTTACCCCTGAGACATTAAGATCAGATTTCTGGCTAGTGAGCCATCTTGGATAATTCTTTTCAGGACCAGACTTCGAACTGTCCTTGAAAGACGATTCTTTAGGAAAAAATAAAGATGATTCCAAAACATATTTATTATTTCTAGTCATAGGTTTTGGGGCTCTGGAGCTACTATATTTCTTTCCATTTACATTGGTATATACATCAGGAGTAACTACATTATCCTTGCTCTTGGGAGTAGAGTCTACACGAAAATTTGGATTCTTCTTAATGTCCGATGAAGCCCGTCTTCCAATGTTTTTGTTTTTCTTGCTTGGTCGGTAACCAGGTTTCACATAAGTGAAGGAAAAAGATCCATCTGCTGGAAGTCTTAACAAATCGTCAGTGGTTAGACTAATGGAGTCCATGTCATTAATAGTCTCTCTTCTATAGTGTACAGAGTTTAAGTGCTGTTTGTGACCAAGATTTTCAAAAGCTGAAAAACAAAGCGTAATTCTGTTTATTTGCTTTATCATATGTAATAATCAACAGTAAATAAGAATTAAAAATTTAAGAATCATTTTGGTGCTTTCCCTTTATCATTAGTTTTGAATAAAAATATTAAACATATAAACTGGTAAACGTGCTTTTTCATACCTCTTCAGTGTTTAATTTCTGTATGTATCTCCAGTCAGCTGAATTTGTGTGTGTTCTCTAACTTACTGTTTCTCCAACTTTCTCTGCACAGACATTCCTTTTACATTAATACACTCACAGTAAGGTTGATGACTGAAAACTGGCTACAACCTAGGAAGAAGTGTGCTACTAAACCAGTGGAAACAGTCTGCTTTCTCTCCTAGTCACCTTGAAATGGCATGACCACACCGAGAATGCCGTTCTAGGTCTATCCTAGAACATGTCACCCATATCCTTCTCACTCTATACTCTTCTGCAAGTGTTTAGTAGAATGTTTATCAACAACTCATTTTTCCAGACTTGTCTTCATGAAAGCTTTATTAAGGGCAAACTCAGCATATTGTGACTATTGATCCATAGAATACAAATGATAAAAAATAACATTCCTATCTCACCAGCTGAAACTGAGCAAGTATAAACTCAGAATGACTGGGATTATTTAGGCATTAGCTTATAAAGACAATAACAATATTCTTTCCATCATGCTACAGAAAAATGGATTAAGAGCTCAGATCAGCCACTTACTATTGTCAACTATATTTACTGGTGTCCTTGGTGTGCTCTCCAAGGTCAAAAAGATCTTAGCCCTAGGATCATGACAAGTATACAATCTGTTTTAGAAAATATCTGGACTTCAGTAATATAAGTTATTTTTATTCCAAAATAACAAAATAAAAATCCAACTTTAAGGCACATCTCTCAAATGTGTTAAATCACTGGGCATAAAAGAATACAAGAAAGCCTAGAGAACAGAGCATACCATTGTTAGGTTTGTGCACACAGCTGGAAAACGGCAGCACAGTATCGGACTCCTCATCAACATTCACTCTGCCCGGGTTTGCTCCAGGATATTCTCTGCTTCGATCAAAATCATCAATGTAAGCCTGCAAAGCCTCGGACGCAGAATTGTACAATTTGTCCTTGTACTGAAAAGAGCCATCCGAGTTGGAGGAACTACTTGCACTTAGGCTGCAGCTTGCCAGGAGAGAAGATACTGAAGATTCCCGAGAACATACTCTGTGTTTTGTGCTTGATTTTGACATGGTTTTCTCAAAATAAGTTATTCATTTCCATTAAATACTGCAATAGAAACACAAAATGTTACAGTGCCAATGGATAATGACTATAAGCAATAAAAACTATGAAATATGTAAACATATTTTTTTCAGTAATAAAATTTGTTATCAATAATAGATATTCCTACTTAAGCACTGAATGTTTCCTATTATCTATACTGTTAGTCACTTCATGAATGATTTGGAAAAAAATTTGAACACCTGCTATGTGCTTAGAAATACACATACAAAAATATACATACACATATACATGGAATATACCAAAGAAAAGGTACTCACTGTTTTAAAAGTCCAAAAATCTACTAATGGACAGTCCTTTTTTATTATAGTGATATATTCTATGACATCACAATACCTATCATTCTCCAACGGATGGTAATTTTTAAGACTTACAAGCCTACTGCCATTACAGATAGCAGGTAGTCCGTTTTCATGCCATCAAATAAAGCATTAGAAACAAGAACAAGGAATGACACCTTCTTTTAATTCTGCAAGCACCAATATGAAACTTTAGCCAACTGTTTCCCTCTCCAAAAAAATAACTACAGAGAACAAAATATTTATCTATAAAAAACATTAAACTACAAATTTTATTTCCAAATGGGCTAGCTATAAGCCTTTTTAAAAAATAAGAATCTCCTCTTGACCTTCACAGTCTTGGTACTTTTAATTCTTTTTTAATTTTTTAAAATATTTTATGTGTATGGACTTTGTGCCGACAGGTATGCCTGTTGTCCAGGAAGGCCAAAAAGGGCTACAGATCCCCTGGAACTGTAATCACAGGTATTTGTGGGTGCCAGGAATTGAACCTGGGTCCTCTGGAAGAGCAGGGAATGCTCTTAATGACTGCATTTCTCCAGCTCCTGTATTTTCAATTCTTAAATAGATTCAGTTCACCTTTCTTGAGCAAGCTTAAATGATTTGGAAAGTCATTTAATGTATTCAACTTTCTGTTTTTCAGTTAAATTGAGAGAACTCTTAGCATAACAATAAGAGTATATTTGTAAACAAGAAATGACAGAACAGACAGGTATTAACTCAGAACATAACAGTCACTGAGAACTGAAGTATTCTCTCAACTAAAAGGTCACGAATAGGATGTACCACATGCTTAATTCTGGCGATAATCTGGGAAGTTTTTTGTTTAATGTAATATTAGTAATGTCAAAATTGACTTTATAGCAAATTTCGTAATTGAATAAAAGTCAAAAGGCTGTAGTAGCTCCTGCCCGTATTCCTAGCACTCAGGGGCTGAGGGAGGAGGGTAGCGTTGGTTAGCAACAGCAAAATATAACAGTCTGATTCTTGGTTGCTCAATGCCCTGCTATTGGTTTTTCGTTAAAAAGGAACTGAACAAAGTCAATTTTATGCTTTCTTTATCCTTCTTACGAATCTTTAAATTAGCTCAACTAAATCCGTTTGAGTACCATTTATGTCTTATCAGAATACAAATTAGGCTGCCGATTCTACACAAAACCTTAAGAACCAGCAAAATCTTCAAAGGGGAAGCAGTTGGATTTAGTTCTCAGTGAGTGGCTAAGGGTTAGTTCTATTTACATGACAAAAAGAAAACCCGAAATTCTTATGGAAAGTTTTCAAGCCTGCGCAAAAGTAGGTAATTTAAGAAACCCCTGAGCACCTATAGCCCTGCTTCCAACAATTACCAACCTACTTTAACAGTTTATGATACCCTTCCTCCCATTTCAGCCACGGGACTGTTTCCACTTAACATCTATTTTATGTAAACCCCATATATCTTACCATTTCCCTTCGCGAGCGCTTCGGTGTGAAATCTCCAAAATGAAACTCATCGTGCTGAACGATAAACTTAGGGCAAGAAATGTCAACGACTCTTGATTCAAAACACAGACTTATCGATCGTGTCAAGAGTGCAAGGGGGACCGAGATCGCTTCTGGAAGTTAAGAACAACTCTTGGAAACCGTAGCTCTCAGAGTTCTAAACCATGGAAGCCAAGCAAGGCCGGCTCAGTCTGCAGAGGGACGTCGATGGAGCGGGAACACGGTGACTTTCGCCAACCTTAGGCTGCACAGCGTTGGCCCATCGGTGTCTGCGGGGTGGCGGCGTCCCTGTGGGTGGCGGGCACAGACACGGCCTTCAGGGAGACCCCAGGGACGCTGCGTGACAGCGGTCAAGGCCCCCGCCCCGAACCCGCAGCCCTGAGCCTTGCGGGTGCCCCTGGATCACCGCACCCCGGTCACCCCGACTCTGCTTCCATAGAGTCCGCTCCCTTGGGTGGGTCCCCGGGTCCCCTGGATCACTGCACCCCGGGTCACCCCGACTCTGCCCCTCCCTTGGGTGGGTCCCCGGGTCCCCTGGATCACTGCACCCCGGTCACCCCGACTCTCCTTCCATAGAGTCCCCTCCCTTGGGCGGGTCCCCGGGGGCACCCCGTCACCCCGACTCTCCTTCCATAGAGTCCCCTCCCTTGGGCGGGTCCCCTGGATCACTGCACCCCGTCACCCCGACTCTCCTTCCATAGAGTCCGCTCCCTTGGGCGGGTCCCCGGGTCCCTAGATCACCGCACCCCGGGTCACCCCGACTCTCCTTCCATAGAGTCCCCTCCCTTGGGCGGGTTCCCGGGTCCCCTGGATCACCGCATCCCGGTCACCCCGACTCTCCTTCCATAGAGTCCCCTCCCTTGGGCGGGTCCCCGGGTCCCCTGGATCACCGCACCCCGGGTCACCCCAACTCTCCTTCCATAGAGTCCGTTCCCTTGGGCGGGTCCCCTGGATCACTGCACCCCGGTCACCCCGACTCTCCTTCCATAGAGTCCCCTCCCTTGGGCGGGTCCCCCTCCTCCGTCCTGCTGGGGAAGGATGCGCGATACTCACCAGGACACTTTTTAAAGCGCACACTTCCAGACCCTCGGTCGAAAGCCCTGGCCCTTCGCAAACGGGACGACGCGACAAAGCATCCCCGAACCCGACACCGCCTTGCTCGGGACCGCTGGTTCCTCGGCGGCCCCAGGCCAGGTAGACAGACGCCCGCGCCGGCTTTCAAACCGACCCAACATGGCGCCGGCCCGCGGGGCGCATGCGTCGCGCTAGGCTCGGGGAGGGGAGGGGAGGGGGAGGAGGGGGAGGCTCGAGAGCCCGGCGGAGAGTTCAGAGGTCAAAGGGCGTTGAGGGGCGTTAGATCGCCGTCCCTCCGGGGAGGTGGGGTTTCTCCCTGGTCTTCTCTCCACCCAGGTCCCATGCCATCCCCACCCCGGCCTCCGCTCTTCCCAGTGCAGTGAGGCCGGGCTTCCTGGGCTGCGGGAGGGAACTGTGCTGGAGGAGACTTGGAGGCGCCCTCAGGAGCGGGGGTCCCTTTTCTGAGAGTCAGATCCTCAGCCCACGCCTTTCCAGTGAGCTTCACGCGGCTTCAGAGCATCCCCTCCCAAGATAGGTACCAAGTCAGCCAAGGAGCACTCTGCCCACTAAGTCCTTCCTCGGAGCCATCCCCATCCCGCCCCAGAGCTCTGACCCTCCTGGGCTTCCACCCATATCAGACAGGCTGCAGATTCAGGACTGGGGAAGGAAGGAAGTCGGATGGACTTGTGATGGGATTTAACAAACTCTTCGGGGACCTTGATTCTCAGGAAGAAATGACAGTGACCCAACACGGATGAGGGACCTGGTCGGGCAGCACAGAAGGAGGGAAATTATACCAACATAAAGATCACTGACTTGTGTGAACCTGTCTTATCAGGCTGGGACAGGATATGAGGTGGAGGGAATCAAGTGGCCACCGAGTGCTCTATCAAAAAAGATGCTATCTCAGCATTGGTCTGTGTTGGTTTTCCACTGACCCTATGACTGAAGACATCCTTGACTTCCATCTAGTTCATCCAATGTTACATCATCAGGTAATAGAACTATAATTTAGCTGTGTCCTGCACCTTTGTAGCATCTCTGGCCTTCTAAACTTCACCTTCCTGTTTCTCTTAGCACATGAAGTTGGCAGATGCCATAGAATATAGTTCAGTGGTTCATTTAACACACATCTATTGTGGAAATGTGAAATGGTTTTAAAATAATTATACAACCCATGCAGAAACTTAAAACTAGTGATAAATGCCAACAATGGTGAAATTTCTATACCAATATTAGGTAAGTCACTGAGAAATAAAAACCTGTGTTTTTATTCACTAGGACAAGCCCATATTGGAGACCAGCCAAACGACGTTTATGCGTGGCCTTAATAAAACTAGGTTCTTTAAAAGCCTAAATTTCATCTTGGTATCTTTTTAACCTGTCCTTTTAAAGGTTCTTTATAAGCAATAGCTTTACAGTTTCTTGGCTTTGGGATGTAGCTTGGTGGTAGAACACTTGCTTAAGGTGATAAATTCAATCTTCACACTGAAAAAAAAAAAAAGAGTACTTTTCAAACTACTTGGTGGTGGTTTGAATAAGAATGGCCCCATAGGCTCAGATGTTTGAATACTTGGTCTCCAATTGGTGGAACTGTTTGGGCAGGATTAGGAGGTGTGGCCTTGATGGAGGAGGTGTGCCACTAGGGAGTCGGTTTTGAGGCTTCAAAAGGCTTGTGCCATTTTCAGTGTGTGCCTCTCTCTCTGCCTCCAACTTGCAAATCAAGATGTAAGCTCTCACCTGTTCCTGCCACTCATGCCTTTGCTCTGTCATGATGGACTCTAATCCTTGGAAACCATAAACCCCAAATTAAACATTTTCTTTTGTAAGTGGCTTTGGTCATGGTGTTTTATCACAGCAATAATTTTATCACAGCAGTAGAGAAGTAAGGCCTTTTACTTCCACTTTAGGAATGTGTTTTTAATCAAGATATAAAGTGTTAATGAAGGACATTATGGAGATGCAAAATAATTTATAAAATATGTTGACCTAAGTCGTGGATCAAAATAACTCTACCTCTGCTTTATCCCCTTACAGGTTAACAGATATGGACATCTCCACCAGGATTTGGAGAATAGTTTCAGTGGGCACTAAAAATCTGGACTAGATTTGTTAACAAAGGTAAAGAAACCAGGAGTCTAAAATGGTTTTTCTAATAGAAAAAAAAAAATATCACCTAGTTATTCTGCCTTTCTAGGACACTAAGCAAGAGAATACAAATTTATGATCCAACCCAGAGAATTTTAAGTGAGAGCTAAGGATCTTCTAAATGTTGTGATACTTATGTGTTAAGATGTATTAATGCACTTAAGAGCCAGTTATTTGAAAAACATTTTAGTGATGGTTATAACTATTCATTATAAGAAACTAACCTTATTTGAGCACCTTGAACACAACTCCTCACTGCTTCAAGCACATTTGCGTATAACTCTCTTAGCCTTTATGGATCTCCGTGAGTAGTAGTATCTCCTTTCTATAAACGTAGAAAGTTGAAATTCAAAGCCTAAGCGGTTTGCCAGCTTTTGTGTCAGAGTTGGGCTTCCAATCCAGATGCGTTACCGTGTTCTTTGTAACATCTCTCTGGCCTCCCCAGCTGAACACTGGTTGGTGGGCTGAAGGACCAATGATCCCTCAGCTGCCTGAAGACATTCACAGGAGACTCAGTATCTTCATTGTTCTTGCTATAATTACTGTTGTACTTAGTTAGGGACCCAATATATATTACCATAGACTAGATGGGTTATAAATAGCACAAGTTGATATACTATGTGGCACCAGAGTGCCATAATGTTTGGTTTCTGGTCAGGGAACTCTTCTGGAATGCAGATTGCTATGTTATGGCTGTGTCCTCAGGGCAGAGGGGGCAAATAAGCTGTCTGAAGTCTCTTAGAAAGACACTAATCTTATATCCATGAAGTCTCTGCTCTCATGACCTAATCACCACCCAATTTCAGTCTATGAATGTGGTGGAATAAAAACAGTCATTTGCAGTACTTGCCAGCAAGGAGAGATTTAGTAAATGTGTTTAAACTGAATTGCTTTGAATAGATCTTGTCTGAATAGTTGACATTTCAGTAAAGGATTCAATGAAGCATAATCTCTCATGAATTTTTCCACGGAAAAAGAACAGTAAATATAAGGACCTTGAGATAAGAAGTTTCTGGGTTGCATTTGAGGAATATCCAGGAGTTTGTGGCTAAGTGGACAGGAAGATAGCCAGTAGGTGTAGGCTTGGAGAGGAAATCATATATGGTCTCTGCCAATCACTTTAATAGTGTTAATACCACGAGCACATGATGAGGAGAGAATGACACATCATAAGGAAAAAAAGAAGATTTTTAGAAATAAAGGTTTATTGAATGACTATAACATGCCATGCTCTGGACACATCATAAGGAAAAAAAGAAGCTTTTTAGAAATAAAGGTTTATTGAATGACTATAACATGCCATGCTCTGGGCATTTGTTTAACCCACTTAGGACTCTATTTAACACATTGATTCTTCAGGATGTTAGGTATATGCTAATTTTACATCAAGAAGAAAATAAGAAAGTAGAAATATTACATATCATACTTTACATAGGGCAAAGATCAGATTTCACCCAGGTCCCTGATTCCAAAATCTGGCTTTAGACACAATAGCACATTTTCTCATTTGAAGAAAAATCTTTGAATGCAAGTGATCAAGTAATTATTTTGAATTGCTAAATGACAGATGTGGTTAAAAAATAGTATTAAAATGTAATAGAGCACACCTATAGCACCAACTAGTTGAGAGACTGGGACAGAAGAGTGGCTTCAGTTTATGAATTCAAAATTTTCTGCAACATGGCACTTTCTTATTTATATGATTCTATTTTACCAACCATTTGTTTTTAAATTTTCACAGGTAGATGGAGTTTAAGGCAATTGCCCAACAAACTGCTGAAGAAATTTTAGCTTACAGTCAAGATATATCTGGCTGGAAAGTTGTTAAATCTTCAGTAAGAAAAAAGTATTTTTCAAGAGTTTATTTTTAAATTGTTTTTTACTATAAAGATATTTTAAAATAATATGTTCTTCTGTAAGCCAGAAAAACATAGTTTTACTTTTGTTTTGTTTTTGTTTGTTTTGTTTTCTGTATCTGACAGTTAATTTATTTCTGGATTTTATTCCCCTTTGAGAAAAGCATAATTGTTTCCAAGAAGACTTCTAAATTATTCCTCGGAAATCTGTAAGTACATTTTCCCATTTACAGGCATTGTTTTAAGTTCAATGGCATTACCAAATCTGGAAGTCAATACCACTTCATAACTAGAACAAACTATTTAATAGTCACCGGGAAATGATGCCTGAAGTCATGTGCTTTTCATAAGCTAGAGCAATCGTGTATTGTGCAACAATTTTCAGACATGAATACAGTCACAAAGTAAATTGCTTCTGGACAGTGTAGAGCAACTTGTTCATATGCACAAGGCCCTGAGATCCATCCCTAACACCAGAAAACTACAATATGTGCACAAAATACTCCTAATTCAGGAGGATGGGAAAGTTCTGCAAAAGTGCATTGACATTTCTTGCCAACAGTAGCATTTTTAAGATGTTTAGAATGCTTCACTTTTCTCTCAAACCACTAAAAAGTAATTTCCCCATCAGTCTTTTTCTCTTGCTCTTAAGTGCAGATATTTTTCCTATAAAGTGCTTTAGAAGCATGTTTTTGAGCTTGGACTATTTCAAACACAAGTACACTAAAGGTGAATGTGCTGACTTTTTTTTTTAGGTGTTCACATACAGTTCTTGGTATCACATCTGTTCCCTCAGATCACTGTGTTATTGAGACAACCATGACCAAATTTTTAGAAAACACTTCTTTGAAAACCTATACTTGTACCTCTGACTGTCAGTGCGATTTTTGTGGTTGTTTTTTTGTTGGTTTTTCATCTTACTAAAGTGTACCTGTATTTGTACACCAGTTTTTGTTAGTTTGTTGTTGTTTTGGAGATAGCTCTCACTAACTCAGCTTCTCCTGCTTTAGACTCCTGCATGCCATTTTTTTTATTAATAGATAAGGATGACATGAATTTCTCTTAGTCATTTTAATAAGTACCAAGAAAGTAATTCTTTTTTCTGTTGTCTAAGCAATAAATGACCTTAACAGTGGCACTTTCCAAAGTGAACCAAGGGTGGGAGAGGTGTAGGTATACTCAAGTCCAGGCATACCTGGGAAGTCAAGGTTGGCAATTGTGACCTTTTAGAGTCTGAAAGACATCAGTCCCATCCCTTCTTGGTTTGTATTGAAAAGCCAGCAGTTGTTCTGATGGCTTGCCTTTATATGTGACTTGGTCCTTCTCTTTCACAGCTTTTGATAGACTTCCTTTATTCTATAAATTTAGTATTTTAACTATAATGATTTAGGGAGTTCCTTCGCCTGGTTCTATTTGGTGTTCTTTGTGTCTTTTGTATTGGGGGTAGGGGCTTCTCTTTCCCTATTTCCAGAATTTTCTGCTATGGTTTTATTAAAAATATCTTATATGCCTTTTGCATGAAATTCTTCTCTTTCTTGTATGGCTATAATTCATAGGCTTGCCTTTTCATAAACTTGCATAATCCATTCATACTTTTTTAAACTTTTATCATTGACCTTGACTGATTGATCCAATCCTATAGTTTATCTCCATATCCTGCTGTTTTCTCTTCCACATGATCCACTGTATTGCCAAAGCTTTCAACTGTACTTTTATTTATCTATTGTATTTTTTCATTTCCATCCTCATTTTGATTTGAGCTTTTCTCAGAATTTCCATCTTTATTAAATCCTATTTTCATATTATGAATTGACTTCATAATTTCATTCAGCTGTCAATATTTTCTTGGTAAATATGGGAGTCCTCTTTGAGTTGTTTTACCATATTTATAATCATTCTTTTAAATTCTGTATCTGGAATTTCATCTAAAGTCATTTTAATTGGGGATCATTACTGTGGAATTGGTAATGTTTGGAGGTGTCAGGTTGTCTTGGCTCCATGCTCCTTGTGTTTTCTCAATGGGATCAACCTATCTCGAAGTAGAACATTGGTTAAGATTTCTGTTGTTGTTCTCCTAATTCAATCTGCCTTTCTTCTGTTCATGGACCTATATGCAGTGTTTGGGGGAGACTAGACTGTAGTACAGCTGTTTGATATTTTTATTTGTTAGGCTGCTGTTCCAGCACAGGACTCTGTCTGTAGTCTGTCTGTCTCGTGGGTTAAGTATTATCTGCAGCATGTCACTGTCCAGTAGTTAACCCATTCTGAAAATAGACTAGCAAAGCAACCCTTGTTAAATACTGATTAATTTGAGAAGCCGAGATAACCCCGATAGTACTGTATATACTAATCTGTTAGTGTTGATGGAAAGGGAAAGAAAAGGGGGCAATCAATCACAGTGAGACCAGTGATAGGTACTAGGTTGTTAGGTGGGAAGTTGAGGAGAGGGCCATACACAGGAGTGGGAATGATTGCATAAAGGAGAAATGGCATAGGTATGTGGAGAATACATACCCAGATATAAACCAGGCCAGCCTCTGGACTCTGGAGAAGTAACAATGAGAAGAATAAGTACAGAATGAAGAGCAAGGAATCAAAAAGGGGACGAGAAGAGGACAGTAAAAGGTTCAAACAGTAGGTGGCAGTATTGTCCTGCTACAAGGCCTGCTGAACTGCAGCTAAGACATATCTGTAGTAGGGAAGCAGGGCTCCATGGTGTTGGAGGCTGTGAAAGGGCTGGTGGAAGAAGAGCTCTGTTCTCACAGGGTTAGGAGCAGCTGGTGCCCAGAACATTGCCTAGTTCCATAACTCGCCTTCTTATTGCACATTTGTGTATCTTCTCATGAAAGATATCTGCTCAGTTTATTGGCCCATTCACTGACAGGCAGGGAAGGTTTTGGTGTTTAATCATTGCAGGTGTTTTTTTTTTTTTTTTTTTTTTTTTTTTTTTTTTTTAATACAGTGTAGGCATTAACAGTTGGAAGTATAGCTGGCCAAGATTCTCTCGCTCTGTGGGCTGCCGTTTTCTCGGCTGGTTTCCTTCACTCTGTAGTAGCTTTTTAACTGTGTGACAATGCTGTGGCTACTTACTATGCTGGCAGGCTTCTAGTCACAAGTTTATTTCCTAGACCTGCATCCTGAAGTGTTTTCCCTTACCAGTTTCAGAGTTTCATGTCTTACATTAAGGTTTTTGATCTAGTTTGAATTGATTTTTGTGCAAGGTGAAAGATACAAACCCAATTTCATTCATCTGCAGGCTAATACTCTGCTTTTCCAGCACCATTTATTTAAAAGGCTGTCTTTTCTCAAGTGTATATTTTGATTAATCTTTTTCATTTAGATTGCATTACTCTTTTCGTCAGTTTGGTTAAGAGTTGGTCAATTTTATTCTTTTCAAACAACCAACTCATCTGACGAATTCTCTGTCTTTTTCTTTGGAGCAGTGGCCCTGGATTGTTGAGCCATTCACATTTGCTGGCGACTTTCTAGTCTCCTCTTAGAGTTGGTGTTGCCATGGTGCCTGGGTTAGATCACTGTCTGCCATGGACTGTAGCAGGAGAGGAGGATTATGAGCATTGGTAATCTCTCAATCTCCGGTTCGCATACCCTCCTTTGTCAATTCCCTGAGCTCTGCTGGAGACAGGTCCACCTGATTTGGATTCCCAGCCAGGTGCAGCACTGCTGAATCTGGATCCTTACAGCACTTCTGTCTGCGGTCACAAGCACAAAGCTGGCTCACTCGTTTTTCTTTTTAATAAGAATGTATTTTTAAAACAGGCTAGAGAAAAAATTGGTGGTGGTGCATGCCTTTAGTCCTAGCACTTGGGAGGCAGAGGCAGACAGATCTCTGTGAGTTTGAGGCCAACCTGGTCTACAAAACAAGTTCCAGGACAGTTGGGGCTCGAAAAACCAAAGAAAAAGGTAATCTATATGTTTTATTAACATTTGTGCTTTTTGTCAGTAATTTACTGCCCCCAGAAGGACCTTCAGTGATTAGTTTTGAACACTTGGTTTTATGCATCAGAAGAAAGGCACATCTTTCCCCTTCTGCTCTCAACTATCCATTCCTCTAATGTTGTGAGGCATTACACCAAATACAATTTTAATTTACTCCCGTATATTCCACAATATAAATATCATTCCTCCTCCTCCTCCTCCTCCTCCTCCTCCTTTCAGGTGAGTAACTGCCTACATAGGTGACTGTCCCCAAGGAACCTACATTGTAATAGTGAAGGGAAAACTTTCAGAAGCAAGCAGGACTTGGCTTCAAAGGCTGCCCGGGGTTACCTTAATCATCATTTCTTCGGAACCCTACGTCTATCCCATGGATGTATGGAATAATTGAGGCACATTATCCAGAGAAGGCATCTACCAGAGTCTACCTTCTGCTTTAACATTTAATGCTTATTTACTATTTTCCATTGTCTCATAATATTGTCATAAATAATCAAAAAACAGACTTCCAAGTCTCCCAAAAAGAACCTCGACACAGTGTTCCCTCTTTGCCCTCCATATTCCTATGCTTTCTAGTTTGTCTGCACTTCTCATTCTCTCCAGTGAGGCCTTGGGTTATATATTTGGCTATCCAGCAGGATGAAGTCCATAAGGGTAGAAACTAGATCCTCAGAAGTACATTAAATAGTTTACATTTGGTCTCACTTGGTGAACAGCTATTAAAAGACAGTGTTAGTCATCATCAGTAATTACATTTCAGAAATAACTGCTTTATGAAAGGGTGATTAGGTGTTGTTAGGTATAGGTTAGAAATGCAAAAAGGTTATCACTATCATTAGAGTTTACAGTCTTACTACAGAGAGACATTAGATAAGTAAAGGACAATCTGTGGCAGTGTGTGCAAACGTCTGAACAAAAATTTGTATGTAAATTTTAACGGTTTCATGTCTGACATTGTTGCATTACATGGTGATTATTTGGGTTTATTTCTCCCCAGGCTTAAAACTGAGCTCTCTCGCTGGCTCGTGCTTGCGCTCTCTCTCTCTCTCTCTCTCTCTCCTCCCTCTCTCCCTCTCTCCCTCTCTCCCTCCCTCTCTCTTTCTCTCTCTCTCTCTCTCTCTCTCTCTCTCTCTCTCTCTCTCTCTCTCAAATAGTAACCTCTTAAAAACATTTTTTGGGGGCTAGAGGAATGGCTCACCAGTTAAGAGCACTGGCTGCTCTTCCAGAGGTCCCGAGTTCAATTCCCAGCAACCACCATCTATAACTAGTTACATGGGTTCCGATGCCCTCTTCTGATGTGCAAATGTACATGCAGACAAAACACCCATATACATATAGCACTTAAATCAATAAATCTTTTAAAAAAACTTTTTTGAAAGGCCAGGCAGTGGTCTCCCACACCTTTAATCTCAGCACTTGGGAGGCAGACACAGGCAGATCCCTGTGAGTTCGAGGTCAGCCTAGTCTACAAAGCGAATTTCAGGACAGCCAGGGCTACACAAAGAAACCCTGTCTCGAGAAACCAAAAAAATAAAACATACTTTTGACATGAAGGAAATAAACCTTACATTAAGGAATTTCAGAATATCTCATAGAGGAAATTGGGAACCCGCTAAGCTTCTAAAGAAAAAGTCAAGTGTACAGGAAGTTGTCTAAAGAATTCCTTGTCTGACCAGATCATGGAAGCCAGCCAGATACACGGGCACATGCTGTAATTCTAGCTTTGGCATTCAGGAGGCTGAGGTGGGGTGTGCATAACTTTGAGACCATCCTGAGCTTCATAAAACGTTGCACAGTTCGGGCTACACAGCTTGGCCCTGCCTCAGTAAACAAAAAGTAGAGAGTAATAATTTCCCACACATGTGACTACTCTTCTCTCTAGTAACGACATTTTTGTTCTTTTCACACTCGCTGAAGAAATTTTAATTTTTCAGAGACTTAAAAGTTTTACCTCAAAACATCTGTTCTCCTTCTTTGAAAAAAAAAAAAGTAAGGGCGTGGCCACCATTCTGATTTCACTTTCAGCTGGCAACCTTCTGCAATAGTGGATTTGAATCCAGTTTTCTCCCACCACATTAATTTCTTGATGGATAACAACATCATGCAGAATTTAAAAGTCATTGTATTAAAAAAAGAAAACAGGGTTTCACTAAATGACCCAGTCTGGTATGAACTCACCTTGTGGCCTAGGCAGAAATCATCCATAATGATTCTCCTGCCTGCTCAGCCTCTTAAGTAGCTGAGATTACAGGCCTGTGCCCTCGGGCCTGGATAGGAACGTAAACTTTGAAATAATTGCTGCAATGTTTATTTAAATAAGCTATGCTAGATCCAATTCAATACACTGTATTAAATAAAATTATTTAAAATATTATATAAAATTCCTTTTAGAATATGTAAGATGAAGAATCTAAAGTACAAATGAATTTTGTGCTTATACTGAGCTCTCATCCCCAAGATATCTCATTTTTTATATATGCAAATAATAAAAAAGAATATAAATATTAATAAATTGTAGATAATAAAGTATGTTTATATATTACATATAAAATATAATAAATTAAAAAGTGAAAATAAAAAGCACTTTTGGTCCCAGGTGTTTTGATATCAGATACCAATTTCACAATTTCTTAACTATTGTTTGCTATCTTTTATTTCAGTAGCACTGTATCCTCAGCTTAAAGTAAATTTTTTAATTTTCTTTACTTTGAAACCATAGATATCGCATTGAAGGAATCATTCCAGTATCAACAGCTAAGCTCTCCAATTTCCTCTACCAACCTGAAAGCAGAATTAAGTGGGATAAATTATTGAAAGCATACAATGTATTACACAAGATTGATTCGGTAATTTACTATTGAATAGTAAAGAATTATTTACTGTATTACTATATTTTTTAACTAATGTGAGTTATTAAATCTACATAGTATTCAATAGTGTCTTATAGATTCAAATTAGCTGTTTTTCATTACAGGGTTTGGGATTGAGCCAAGGGCCATTTTCATGCCAAGCAAACACTGTATCACTAAACACACACACACACACAAACAACATACACATATACCACTACTTTTATAGTCTCAACCTCTGTTTTCTGAGTTATAGAATTATAAGCATGGACTACACCTAGCTGGAATGTTATTAAAGCCTTAAAATATCCATTTTTATTAGTCAAGAGTTTAATTCCAATTAGCTTAGTTTTGTTTGTAAATATCACATTCATTATCTGCCAGTCTCTTGTTGATATGTACATTTTGTTATGAGGGAATTAAACTTAGCTATTCACCTCTATTACTGAAAACAAATTTAAACATGCCTTGTTGATGAGGAGTCAAAATTGTATTGGGGGAGAACATGGTATATCCACACGAGTGCAGGTGCTCAAGGGGGACAGAGGCAGAGAATCCCTGTGGAGCTGTCCTTACTAATGGTTGTGAGCTGTCTCATGTGGATACTGGACACCAAACTCTGGTCCTCTGAAAGAAAAGTATGTGCAGTTATCCTCTGAGCCATCTTTCCAGCCATGACTTTTGGGATTTTGTTGCAGCTGTTTTTGGTTTTTAAGAAACCCACATGGCCCCAGTGCTTCCTTCCTACACTGCCCATACTGGCCTGGAACTGGAGATTCTCCTGGCTCATCAGTAATATGACTACAAGTTTCCTGGCGGAGTTCAGTGTATGAATATGACAATAGAGAACAGGTACAATATTGATATGCACCATAAAGACTTAAGAAGAAAGAGTAGGTACTGTTAAAAATTAAAGGCCAGGACTGGTGAGTTAGCCTAAAGAGTAGGTGCTGAAAGATCACAGATGCTAAGTCAGATTAAGATGCCCAATAAAACTTCCCGTGACAACTGAAAGGGGAAAAGATGAAATTAGAACAGTTAGGAAGCTATCAAAACAATCTATATGGAATCTTATGGTAGTTTACGCTGGGGTGATAACAGTATGGAGCAAGGAGAATCAGAGGATGGAAGACACAGCCTAGAGATGAGTCAGAACTCATGGGCCAGCTAGCCTGTTGTATACGGTAACAAACAACAGAGATGTCTTGCTTCAACCGAAGTGGACCGCAAGAATCTACAGCCAAGGTTGTCCTCTAACCTCCACACATGCACTGTTGTAAACAGGTGCATACACACACAGACACACACACACACACACACACACACACTAAAAAAGCAAATCAAAACGTTTTGACAGACTCAAGACAAAGTATGAACTAATGAAAGAACATTTTATGGCAGCACATATACTAAAAACCATACAGAGAAAATTTTATGACTTCTATGTAAGCATGACATGCAAACTAGTGAAGTGTTCCATATTTTAAAATATGGGAAATCCCAATGTAATTAGTCAAGCAATGTGAAAAACAAAATAAAATATCTTGTTTGAAGATCACCAATCCTATAGTAATGGTCCTGAATGAGAACAACATAGACAAAATTTAAAACAATTATAAAAAATTCAAAGAACTGAATAAGGGCACAAACACCAGAAAGAATTTAAAGACAAGAAATTACTCTCCAATGAATTCCAAGAAAACAAAACAAACAGGTTAATAAAATAACAAAGTCGATTCAGGATATGAAAACAAAACTCAATAAAGATATAGAAACATTAAAGAAAATCCATGAAGCTGTGAAGCTGAAAATGAAAACTCAAGTCAAATTTAAAACTCAATTAAAAAAAACCTAACCAATCAAATGTATCATACAGACAATAGAATAGCAAAGCTTGAGGATAAGGTAGAAAAAAAAATGAATCACTCAGTTAAATAACATTTAAGTGTAAATGGAATATTTGAGATCTCCTTCAAATTATGGGCATAGTAGGAGAATTCCATGCCAAAAGCCTAGAAAATATTTTCAATTAAAATCCTAGAAGAAACAATTTCCAAATCTAAGGAAAGAGATAGCTATCCAGATACAAGAGGCATATGGAACACCAAATAGAACCAGAAAAGAAACACTCCCTGTAGTATTGTAGTTAAAGCACAAAATACACAGAAAAAAAGAAAGAAAGAAAGTGTATTCAAAGCAGTGAGAAAGGTTGAGTTACATGTAAAGGTAGTTCTATAAGAAAAACAGCTGACATTTCTATGGAAACATTAAAATCCAGAATGAGGGAAAAAACTGTTGCTAGGGTTTTAGTTAATATTAACATAAAAAGAACTAGTATGTGGCAATGATAAGACTAACTTTTCGTGATATTTATAGCTGAATATTTGTAAACATCTAGATTACTGGGTCCTTGGCTCTTTGAGTCTTCATCCTGCAGAACAAAGGAGCAAATACCTTAGGTGCATGCTCCTCAGATTATCATGTATTTATGCTTCTGTAATTTTACCTGCTTTATTAAACTTACCTTAAAGCCTAGAAAGACAAATTGTTGGGAAGCCCTGAAAGATAGATCCTTGTATCTGTAGAGAGACCTTATTTTCCTATCCTCTAAAAATAAAAGCAAATTATGTCCATGATCTTTTCAAACTGATTTGAGCAGTCAGTTTGAGAAACAGTGTGCCTCACTAATGAAAACCCAGATATGAGAGTTAACTGGTTTAAAGGGTCCACTAGCACTTCAAAAATGTCTGTTGTTGTTGCAAGTTAGTAGCAAAGAATGCTTCATGGGCACTAAAAAGCTTAAAAAGCAGACTGAGGTCGTGTGACTTGCCTAAGACTCCTACGGCAAATATGTGCTGCTGCAAATATGTGACAGAACAAGGCTTTGTACACCATTCCTGCCCCTTCCAGTCTATGCTCCATTTATCTCTGAATAATGTCATTTCACCTTCCTGTTCATATTTATAATACTACTTTCACCTCCAGGAGTGTTAACTGCCTGTTATGCAGCCCATGGATGAAGAATTGTCACTCTTGAAAACAAATATACAATACAATGGGCAAATGAGATAAACAGTGGTATATAATCATGAATCCTGTACCAGGAGAAGAGGGCATAGTACCACACAGGGTAACATGAAAATAGATTTAATAACCAGAGGCTGTGGGAGGCAGGCTTGTGGTGCCAAAATATTTTGTAGCGTTTTCTCCAATTTAAAGCCTTACGTCTTGGAGAGAAATTTCTTGAGACATGGGATATAAAGGGAAAGTGAACAGGCTACTTTATGACAAGATGTTTATAAGGAAGTGAAACAACTGGATGTTCTAGAGGGAAGTGAAACATTCCATCCTTAAGGGAAGCTCCATTAAGAGAGGAAGTAAGCAACTCAAATAGCTTCAGGAAGTCCCTGAAACTAACAAGATTCAGTAGGTTCCTCCCTCTTCACGAGTAGGTGAATAGTAAAGACTGCTGAGAGTCAGACAAACCAAGCAGCCAGAAAGAAGCAGAGAACTGCCCAACTGCCTGGAAGAGACAAAGACCAGCTGAACTGCCGGGAAGAGGCCCAGACAAACAGAGCCACCTGGAACAGACACTCTCAGACTCTGAGCTTCTTGCCAGCAGTGCAGTGAACTCCAGGTTTCCGGCTTTTATGAGCTGATTAACTGTGCTGGGTGGGCTTTGGTAGTGCAGATATCTTTGAGTCATTTCTGCTCCTGTCAATAAGTAACCTCCCACCTATATTCCATAGTAACCCTTTTGTTCATCAAGTCAGACTTTGGTGTATCCTTATGTTGCTCTCTCGTGGGCACCCTTTCTGGGATGAGTAGACCTGTGTTTTATGTCTCCCCAGAAAAAGTCTGTCATGCTACCCAGGCCAACAGAGAACTGAAATCACTGAAAGGGATAGTGACTGTGGGATCTCACACGCAGGACAGACTTGGAAAAATTTGCAGCTAAGCCATTTGAAATTCAGTTTCACCAGATGGTTTCAAACACTGGTCATTAATTTTAGGCCTTATGCCATAAAGTGCCAAATCCATATATTTTTCAGAATATTTTACCAACCCCACAGAGGGCCAAAATAGTGCTGTACAGAAATCAGAAGACCCCAGCTCTAATTCTGAACTGCTTTCTAGCTGCGCCTAGGATTTCATCTGATGGCCTTGTCCTCTCTGTCTACAAATGGAATACATGATCTTCAGATTTCTTGCCGAATGTTGTGCACACCTAACTGTGACTCTGATGTTCCTTAACACTCAGTGCAGGCTGATTTGGTGGGACCGTCTAAAGACGGTCTAAACATACATGATGGAGTTCTTGGGGAACAATAAATCATTGACATTCAGTAATTTTTGCAACCTTTTTGGTTTGATTTGTTGCAGGACACATTTATATGTCATACCATTACGAATAGTTTTGCCATGGGCTCCATTTCCCCTAGAGACTTTATCGACGTAATATACATCAAACACTATGAAGGGAATGTTGACATTATCTGTGGTGAGTTGAAACATTTTGCCCATGTTTTAGAATTACTATGTGTCATCAAAAATGTTTTGCCTTTAATAGTTAGTATTAATAGTTTAGAAGAAACTATAGTTTCAGTTCTTTTGTTTGTTTATTCAGTGCTACCAAAAAGCTTGTGTCATGTACACAGGCCAGGTATTTCACCTAATCCAAGAGGTGCTGTGTAGATAAATTGCTCCTGGACTTTTGCAGTATGAACTGTGGAATCAATACAGATAGAGACTGTAAACTAAAATTTCAATGTATACATTTTTAATCCTCTGAAATAAAACTAGCCTTTTATATATAATTTTATACTTGGCTCATTTAAAATGGGCATATATAATAATTGTTACAGTACTGAGTATAAAGTATGATAATACTGAGTACTTCTGGGTGGGTCTTTCCTTAAATGTGCCTATATCTCTTCTAGGGGATGCAATTTTGGATATAACCCTAGCCTACTCTGCAATAATGTGACTCTGTGGAACACAAATATATCATTATTTGCTAAATTGTGTTACGGACACAAAAACCTTTTCACAACACAAGAGTTTGGACTCTGAAAGCTTAAGATCATGTTTGATGAAAGTACTTTGACAGAATACCAGTGAAGATCCCAATTTTCTTCTTGAATTTGATCTAATCCTATAATTTCTATAAGAATATTTTCTCTCCTGTAAGCTACTCAGGGATAGACAGTGAAGCTGTGTTATTACTTCCCAGTACTTACAATGGGATGACTCCAGTATTCTGTTTCACTGACAAAACTTTTCAGCCCTCTGACTCAAAGCCAGTTTTCTGGGCCTTATAGCAGATCATTAAAGATGAATGTTCTCGCCGGGCAGTGGTGGCACACACCTTTAATCCCAGCACTCGGGAGGCAGAGCCAGGCAGATCTCTGTGAGTTCGAGGCCAGACTGGTCTACAGAGCAAGATCCAAGACAGGCACCAAAACTACACAGAGAAACCCTGTCTCAAAAAAACAAAAAAAAAAAAAAAACTAAAAGAAAACAAAAAAAAAAGATGAATGTTCTCATAAAATATGTATACATATTTTAATCATTATTTTCAAAGTTTCATCACATAAAATGTTTTCACTACCTACTATATGAAATTTTGCCTTGTCTGAATTGTAAGGTCTGTAATTTTCCATTTTAAAAACAAGCTGTTTCTAGCCTCTATTAAGAGTCAGAGGGAGGGAAAAACAACAGCTGAGGTTTTAGCTCAATGTCACAGTACTGTCACAGCCACAGGAGGCCCTAGGCTCCATCCCACCAGAGCAAAATTAGAAAATAATTAAACAAACGCATGATGGAGCATTCCTTCATCTCAGCGCTTGGGAGGCAGAGGCAGGTGAATCTATATGAATTTGAGGCTACCCTTGTGTACATAGTGAGTTCCAAGCCAACCAGGACTACATATTGAGATCCTGTCTCAAAAAATAGTAAGTAAATAAAACTATCTTTTATGCTTTGTTCTTTTGTTTCAAACCTCAGAAAGTAACTAAATGATACTTTTAAAGAACTTTTCTTGTGTAAAAATATACAAGCATCTTTAGGGATACTAGTATAAATAAATATATGTACACTGTGAAACTAGTGTTAACATTGAAGTCCAATGCCATCATTTATTTTAAAATTATGCTTCTAGAAATAATGTTTGTCCTTGTGAAATTGTCTCATTTCACCTTTTGTAATCACAGCTCACAGTGTGGACTTCCCAGGATATCCTCCGACTTCATATTATGTCCGTGGCTATAACTACCCTTCTGGCTATGTATGTTCACCTCTCAAAGAGTAAGTGCTATTTATAGGTGTCTATTTTAACAGGGTTTTTCACTTCCACTTAGGATTTACTTTAGGATCCCTAGCTTACTAATAGAAATATGTACCAACATACTTTATTGGGAGAAAAAAAAAAACTGCCCCATAAGCAATTTTAAAAATAACTTTTTATATTTTTGTCTTAAATATAAGAACAGATAACTTACTATGAAGTATATTCTAGGGCTCTGGGCATAATGAAACACACAAATATTTTCCCACAACTAAACCTTCCATGATGTCTGTAGCCGGGTGTGGTCATTTAAGCCTGTAATCCTAGGACTCAGACAGTGAAAGCAGGAGGACTGCCATGATGAGTTCAAGGCCAGGCTGGTTGTACTACAGTGAATTTAAGGCCCAGTTGAGATGCATAGCCAAACTCTGTCTCAGAGAAGGGCAAATTAATAAAAGTAATTATATAACTATAAGCATGATGTTGGCTTGGCCAACTTCTGTATGATGATTTTCATTTTATCTTGTTAGATTTTGTTTTGTTATGGTTTGTTGTTCTCTTCTAGAAGCCTGTTCTTTCCTAATAAGAGACAGAAAGGGAGTGGATCTGAATGGGAGGGAAGATGGGGAGGAACTGGGAGGAGCAGAGGCGGGGAAACTGTATTCAGATTATATTGTATGAGAAAAGAATCTATGTTTAACAAAAGGGGAAATATAAATATATCTCATTGAAAAAAACTGCACATATATGCAGGAACATAGGTATATAATTTTCATTTCCTTATTTTTTCATTTTTAATAGAGGCAGATATTGTTTTTTCTTATTAACTAAAGAAGGTATATATAAGGGCTCTATAAAGTTGATAAATGCTACATAAACAGGAGTAGAACAAATGTTCAGAGAAAAGAAAAGGTATGCATTCTGAGGACTACGTATCTACTCAAAGGATAAAAGAAATATCAAGAGGAAAGGGTAACTAAAGCTGAGATTTTAAGATACCTTCTGACTACTTAATATTCTATGTAGAATTTTTATTTTATAAGGTCACTGTCCCTTCCCCTTTTAGTTAATTGTCTTGTCATATGCACGATAGAAAGAATCAAAGAAAATTAATTGAAGACTTCTGCTCTCTATAAACTTGTCACTTGCTAAGGTCGAGTTAAGAATGCTTTATCTTTTGTAACTCTTTATTTGCTTACAGAAACCCAGCATATTCCAAGCTCGTGGTATTTGTCCAGATAGACATGAGAGGGAAATGGCTTACATCGATAATTGAGAAAATTATGCCATCCAACTTAGTGAGCTTCTTCCTCAATGCAAAAGATGGCATAAAGGCGTATGAAACTCCATCAGCACGGAGACGTCACAGTAGGCACCCATCAGTACACAAAAAGAAATAAAGCAATTCTGCCATTAAACATAGAGATTGCAGACCGTACAAACTGCTAGTAAGTGTAGTTTGTCCCTGCTGATTACTTCTAAGTCAATATGTGTAAATCTATTATATGTCTGTAGACATTATCCTTGTACCGAGGACTTGAATGTTTTGTCAAAATAAGAACTTCATTTTACAAAACTCCATTAGATATAGCTTTTAATCTCACATGACATGAAATAATGTGCTATTAATACACTTTGCCTACCTGAATATGCTTCACATTCAGATTATAAACAAGCAGATATAGTCAGCAGTTGACAGTAATTAGAAGTTCATTAAGTATTCATCTAGGGATGGTGGCAAGCACCTGTAATCCCGACACTGGAGGGACTGAGATGGGACCAGCACATGAGAGCAGCCTGAGCTACACAGAAAGACCCTATCTCAAAAATAAATAAAAAGTGTATTTTAAATTACCTTTCCTGCCGGGCGGTGGTGGCGCACGCCTTTAATCCCAGCACTCGGGAGGCAGAGCCAGGCGGATCTCTGTGAGTTCGAGGCCAGCCTGGTCTCCAAAGCGAGTTCCAGGAAAGGCGCAAAGCTACACAGAGAAACCCTGTCTCGAAAAAAACCAAAAAAAAAAAACCAAAAAAAAAAAAAAAAAAATTACCTTTCCCTCATTTACTACTTGAATTGAGAGTTACGGAAACTTGAACATAAGAACTGAACACTAGGGAACTCAGAGTGCATCTAAGGATAGAATAATAGCCTACCATATAACGACCTTGGATTCCATCTTTCACACCAGAAACTGTGGTGATATTGTGAACCCCAATATATTGTGCACCCTAATAAACTTTTCTGGGGTCAGAGAACAGAACAGCCACTAAATAGACATAGAGGCCAGAAAATGGTGGCACACACACCTTTAATCCTAGCATTCTGGAGGCAGAGATCCATCTGGATCTCTGTGAGTTCAAAGCCACACTGGAAACAGCCAGGCATGGTGACACACACCTTTAATCCCAGGAAGTGACTGCAGGAAGCAGGAAGGTATATAAGGTTTGAAGACCAGGAACTAGGGCTCTTTTAAGGTTTTAGGCTTTTAGCAGCAGTTCAGCTGAGATCCATTCCAGGGAGGAGTCAGAGGCTTTCAGTCTGAGGAAACAGGATCAGCTGAGGAACTGTCGAGGTGAGGTTGGATGTGGCTTGTTCTGTCTCTCTGATCTTTCAACTTTCACCCCAATACCTGGCTCCGGGTTTGTTTTTATTAATAAGACCTTTTAAGATTCGTGCAACAAGAAACCAGTAACACTCTATTTCCACTTGGGGATCAACAAGGTTGAGAGTCACAAAGCTGGTCTCATTCTGTTTCCATTTCCTTCATCTATGGTGTCATCAGTGGCACCTGGAGAGACGAGCTCATGCCCCCACTGCAAAAGCAACATACATATGTAAATCATTGTCCACTTCCACCAAGAAGGTATCAGCAGGGGCGGAAATGGCATCGAACTGTGACATGCCTCTGCCATGAGATTCAGTCAATGCTCTTCTTTCTCCAGGGTAGAAATAAACACTACCCAGCTCCTGTGCTAATAACACCTAGCGGTGAATCTGCGTTCTTTAAGGACCATTCTAACAAAGAACTCTCACCTAAAATAAACAGGGAGCTTTCAAAATGTGTAGTATAAAAGCAATCCAGTTGAAAAGTAGCCAAAGGCAATGGCCCTGAGAAAGATACGTGATTGAAAAACAAACTCAAAAGAAAAACATGTTCCACAATATTAGCCGCTAGGTAAATTCAAGTAAAATTCAAACTGAGATGCTGGCACACTTACCAGAATGGCAGAAAGTTTTAAAAATAATGATAGGATCAAGTGTTGGCATACATTCAGAGAATGTCCACCTCCTTATTTCATTCAGCTGTCTATATACTCAGCACTCTTCCAAGAGTTCTTTTTATTCTTTTAAATTCATTTTTCTGAGATAAAAATCTCCACTGTCATGGAGGACATTACTATAGGATTAATACTTTTTAGAGGACAAAGATTGTCTTGGTTTTTCCTGTTACTGGTGCTTTGGTGTTGGGATTCGCACATTTGGTGTTAGGTCATTGATTGGTTGAATTAATTATTTGGTATTTTTGCTCACCCTTGGTCTTCCAGAGAAACTTGCACTGTTCAAGGGGTACCAGATTATTGCTAACACCCCATGGGATAGGGGATATGCAGCATCAGTGGGATGCTGAGCTCACTAGAGTGACTGACAGGACTAGAGTCTCCCTGGAGTGCTTTCTTTACTGATTTTTCCTGGGTGTGCTGTGATGCTTGCCTGGGCAGTGATGGAGTTGGATCTTCCTGAGCATACAGTCTTCATTTCTACCTTCAGATGGTTAGAAGAAAAGAGTCTGCACTACTCCACGGACCCACGTTCTCATAGCCACCCTCACCCTTCAGCAGCTCAAGGCTGGTTCACTGAAGGAGTGACCACTGGGACCTCTCAGCCTCCAACTAGGTACATCATACTGAATCTTCAGAATGAAAAGAAAGACAGACATCAATAGGGATGAATGAACCACTCTTCAATAATAGTTAAACAAGAGAGGAGTAAGAAAACACCAAATACTACAAAATCCACAAAATGAGAGGAAATGATATACATTTTTCAATAATAACTCTAAATATCAGTGGTCTTGATTTTGCTTTCAAGAGGCACATACTAGTATATTGGATTAAATGCCGGATCTTTTTGTTATTCTGAGAAACCACCTCACCATAAAAGAGAAATGCTACCCTATTAGCTACTTTTCTATCCTTTTGAAAACACCATGACTGAATCAACTTATAGATAGAAGGGGTTATTTGGACTTATGAGAATCCATCACCATACAGCAGAGAAGTGTGGCACCAGGAAGAACCTGCTAGCTGGAGCAGCAACAGAGAGCTCGCATCCTGAACCACCAACAAGAAGCAGGGAGCTCACAGGGAAAGGCACAAGACTTTGAAACCTAAATCCCACCCACAGGGATATAGTTCTTCCAGCAAGGCCACAACTCCTAAACCTAGCCAAACAGTGTCACCAACTGGGGACCAAATATTCAGAATGCCCGAGCCCGAGAATATATGGGAGGGCGGTGGATATCGCATTCAAACTATCATTCTTAGAGTTAAAGGATGGTGGAAAATGTAATCCAAGCACATTAGAACTAGAAAACAAGTAAGTCACTTGTTCTAATATCTAAAAAAATTGATACTAAGCCAGAAATAATCATTTCATAATGACTTAGTAAAGAATCCATCAAGAGCACGTGGCAGTTCCAAACAGTCGGCATAGAACATGGGCATACCTAATTTTATGAGACAAATACTACTAGAGATGATTAACCCTGACATGACAGTAATGTGTGACTTCAGTACCCCACTCCCATCCAGGCAAAAAAGGTAGGGGGCGGGAAGAGTACCTGAATTAAATGGCATAATAGACCAAATGAACTTAAAGGTATTGGCAAAGCATTTCATACAAATACTTAAGAATGAACAGCTCATGAAACTCTCTAAAACGCGTGCGCGCGCGCACACACACACACACACCCCTACATAGAGCAAATCTTAACATACAGGAAAAGTACATAATTCCTTGTATTCTGTTTGAGCACAGTGGAATAAAACCACAAGAACATAGAACATTCAGAAACTCATGATTAAACAACACAGCGCTGAGTGAGGAAATCAAGATCAGCATTACAGTATGCTGTGTCATCTTGAGAACCAAGGCTGGAGTGAAAGAAGTCTTACATTCAACACAGGCCATCACAGAAACACCTCAAATGCTTTTCATGTTTGAGTTCAAAGTTTTGGTGAGTGCACATTCAGAAACCTTTTCCTATTACTGAATTAGTGACTCCCACACAATGTCAGTCATGTGACTCCACATGGAATCAAGCCCACAGTTTAAGGAGGGTGGGGAGGATCTGGGAGGAGATAAAGGAAGGGAAATTATGACCAGAATATAGCATATAAAAGAAATTTTTTTACAAGAAAAAGTGAAAGAAGGAGGAAGAGGAGACGGAGAAGAAGACAACGATGAGAACAACAAAGTGGCAACTGACATTTTAACTAAAGTTGGAGAAACGAGAACTCTTAAAAAAAAAAAAAAAAAAAAAAAAAAAAAAAAAAAACGGAAAGTTTAATACCTTAATCCTATGCAGTTAAACACCACCAGGTGGCGCGCTCCACATTTTGCTTGTAGATACCTTAGGCCCAAAGCAAACATTTGATCTGTTTTCCAAGGAAAACATACTAGTTTCTTACAGCAACCTTCTCAACATTATTGCAACTTTTACTAACAATTTCTTCAAACTCTTGTTACTCAGAAGCCTAAATATCATATATTATGTATTTTTGTGGGACAGCCCAGCATTTCTAGATACCAACTTTTGTAGCAATTACTTCCAAATACACACAAAAAAAATTTTGTTCCATTATAAAATGAACCATATAATGTATTCTCTGAATATTTTGATATTGTCAATTCTAATCCTTTTCAAGCTCTTATTTTTACATAAAATTATTTTACATTCATATATCAATATTTCTGCAATAAAAATTAAGTTTATAGTTTGATGGAATATAATGAAAAGTGAATAATCATCAAATTTTACCATATAGTAGTTAAGATGTTTATCTGTACTTAGAAATGAATATCTGGGAGTTAAAATATCCAAATGGACATCATTATTTGTTAATGAGACTAGAATCAATGACCAGATATAATGGAAAGCTTCAATGATTACATGACAATTGCATGCATAGTTTCATAGGATACAACTAATGATGCTGAAGTAGGCATATGCTTACCCATCTACCCAAAACTAAATACTGAATGTAGCTGAACACCAATGCTTAAGTAGGTATCTCAGTAAACAGAGATGTTTCAAGTATGTGCCTTAAAATTCTTTTCATTACTAGGGTAGTAAGAATGTAATATAATCATCAAATCAAATGACCTAAGGGCCAGGGCTCTATATAGTTCAGTGGTAGAGTACTTATTTGCCATGCATGAGGCCCTAGGCTCAGTCACCAGCACTACCATCCCCTCTCTCCCAAAAAGTCATGTGGCAGCATGTAGATTGATAAATATGGGTTAATTTATATAGCAGGAATCTTAAAAGTTCTTATTAATAAAATCAAACCTGAGCCAGGTATTGGGGTGAACACTGGAAGATCAGAGAGACAGAACAAGCCACAGCTAACCTCACCTGGCCAACTTCTCAGCTGATCTTGTTTCCTCAGACCGGAAGCCTCTGTGTCCTTATATCCGAATGGCTCTCAGTTGAACTGTGCTGCTCAAAACCTAAAAGCTTCTAGTTTCTGGTCCTCACACCTTATATACCTTTCTGCTTTCTACCATCACTCCCTGGGATTAAAGGCTCACTTTCTGGGATTAAAGGCGTGAGTCACCATGCTTGGCTGTATCCTTGAACACATGGATTTCTGCTTCTGGAATGCTAGGATTAAAGGTGTGTGCTACCACTGCCTATCCTAAGTATCTAGTGGCTTTTCTGTTCTCTGACCCCAGATAAATTTATTAGGGTACACAATATTTTGGGGAACACAATACCACATTTCCTCTCTTTTTGTCTAAAATTTAAAAAAGCTTATAACTAATACAAGAAAAACTATCCAGTAAGTATATACAATATATACAGTCAAGAGTTACATTAACAATGCATAGTCCATTAACATTTGACAGATTCAGACAAAAAACTTCATTATATGTATTAACAATGTCCAGTCCAGTAACATTTGATAAACTCAGACAACTTATCCTATTTAAAACAAGTAGTTCCTTTTTAAAAGTAGATTCAAAAATTGACCTTTTTATCTTATCATATTCAAATTTAAGTTGTAAGAGCTAGTTAGTAACAAGCCTAAACTATCAGCCAAGCATTTATAATTAATAATAAGCCTGAATGATTATTTGAGAGCTGACTGGTGGGACAGAAAATTCCACCTACACCAGATGATTAAAAACTTAAATCTGAATAAATGTGAAAATTCAAGAAAGTTCTAAATTCCAAATTTGACAATAAAAAAGAAATCTAGGCGTTAGAGGGTAGCTGTCAGTAGTGTTTTCCCAACATGCAGAAGACCCTAGGCTCCATCCTTAGTACCACATAAACTGGGAGCTGTGTGTGGTGCAGGGTTGCAGGCTGGTAGCCTGTGTCCAAGCTTTCAAGAAGTACAGGCAGGAGAATCAGAAAGTCAAGGTCTTCTTCAATAGTCAAGGCCATCCTGGGCTGGAGATTTTGTCTAAAAGTAAAAGTGGAAGGAGGGAGAGAAGGAGGGAAAAGGAGAGGGAGGGAGGGAGACCAATAACTAGACTTATAATAAAAAACGCAGAGCCAAGAGAGACCGTTTCTAAACCCATAGTTCTAATATTTCAAAAGTAAATTGTATTTCTGAGATGCAAGAAAAAAAAAGACCCTCTCCCACAAGATAAACATTTGAGCAAACTTAAACTTATCAGTCATATCAGATATTAATTGTAGGATGTTCAGGTTAAGGTGGCAGATGTGACTTCCATAATGTGTATGTGAAGGAAGACAGAATAAGGAAAACTAGAGGAAGTGCTTTGTAAACCAGGAAGTGTGTGGGGGTGAGGCGTGGACAGGCAATGCAGAGAAGTAACTAGACACAGCCTCAGCCACAGTTCACTGGTGGAGATGGAGGAGCAGAATCCACTTCCAAAAAGTAAGCCTGACGAAAGTCAGGTGGTCCTAGCCAGAGGGCAGACACACACCGTTTAGATTATATTGGTTCAGTAACGTGGCAGGAGTCGCTCTCCACTAAGATCATGATTTCACTAGCTCTGGGCAGCTGGCTCAGTTTCCATTACCAATCATGATATCCTGTTGTGTGGGCCTTCAGTCCAATTAGAGAGCCGCTCTTTCCCACCCAATGTCAGCACCACTACTGCACCTTTGGGCTATTTTGCCATGCCGGTCATTGCTGTAGTTCAGAGGCATCACACTGGGTAGGATTACTCATTGCTCCCTCCCTTGGCAGCTGGCAGAGCACCTACTTGTATTATGAAAGCTAATCTTCAGGGTGGAATTGGGAAGGGTGTGGGAAGTTGGGATTAGAAAGAGTCACCAGGCTGGGCCACTGTGCAAGTTGTCCTGGGCAGGACTGGGCCTGGTAGTTGGATGTATTTGGGAACAGATGATGTCCGGTGGTCACAGGGTGAACTGCACTAGCACACAATCAATTTTTTTATGCTTAAGTTTGTTATTTACTTTGTTATATTCATCAGAACTTTCAACACTTACTCATTATTAGTAAATATGTTTTGTTGTTTTTCTAATCTCTTATATTTTTGGTTGTGAGCCTAGCCTTTAACGGCTGAGCTATCCCTCCAGCCCTGTTTTTCTAATCTCTTGCCCTCCATAACATTATTCTCTGCTGCTCTTTCACTTTCATTTACCCATTTCTCCTCCTACCTGTCTTCTTCCTTTATTTCATTTACTCTTTCCAAACTAACTCCAAGCAGTTTTTAACATTATCATATTCTGCAATACTGTTTCAGTTTTTGATCGCTAGTCATGTATTAGTAGTGGGCTATAACTGATGTTAAGTGCATTTCTATCTCTTGCATGGTTGGACATAGCTGCTGCCAAAGCAGTCTTCTCCTCATGGAGCATTTCTAGGGATGGAGCCTTCCAGAGTACACTCTTCAGTGAGAAGACCCCCCACCACCACCACCATCACCATAAGAAACAGAAGAAATAGCCAAACCAACAAATGTGCACTCTCACCATAGAAACTCAAGAAACTTGAGAAGGCAAAATACTTTCTTGAATGAATAGTATGGTCATTGAAGAAAAATCATGGAATAAATTTAAGAGTTCCTAAAACTAAATAACAATGAAACCACAACTTACTTGAACATGGTATAAGAAGAAAGTTTACAGCTATTTGTGCTTACATACAAAAAACAAAGATCTCAAATAAATAATGATGCACCTTAGTGTCCTCGAAAAACAAAAATACCCCAAACCACAAAGGAGCAGATGGCAAGAAGTAAAGATCTGTAGAGGAAGTAATCAAATGGAGACTGAGGTGACTACACATAGTAGAGCTGTATTACAGTATCCTTAGTATAAGTAGCATCATAGCGTATCTGGGTCTATGATACAGTCAAGATTGACAAACCAACAAAAGAAGGAGATCTGACTAAGTCAAATGTGTGATGAAAAAGGAGAAACTACCACAGATGCCAGACACAGAATCATTAGCGAGTATGACAGATTCTAGGGGCCAGAGAGATGGCTCGCAGTTAGGAGTGCACATTGCTCTTGCAGAGGAACTGGATTCAGAATGGAAAAGGAAGGAATACCAGCAATTCAATATGAAGCCAGTTTTATCCTGATACCTAAATAGGATAGAGACACACACACACAAAAAAAAAACTATAGACCTCTGAATTTCTACTGTGAAATTAATACAAGATTTTTTTAATAAAATTATCACCACCTGAATTCAAAAACACAGTAATGAGATAGATCATGGTTTTGTTCTAGGGATGCAAGGTTGCTTTAGTATATACAAATTCATAGATTGAATTCAGCACACAAATAGAGTTAAGGGTAGAAACCACATGCATATCTCGATTTTTTTTTTTAAAAAAGGCAGTTGACAAAGTTAACAAGCCTTCACTTAAAAAAAAAAAAAAATCCCAGAAGGAATAGAAAGACTATACCTAAGCATTATTAAGGCTATATGATGAACTTGTAGCTAACATTTCCTAAACGAAGAAAAACATTTCTAAAATCTAGACCAAAACAGGGGAATCAGTACCATTCTTGCTCAAGATTGTGACTGAACTTTTATGTAGAACAATAAGAAAAGAAGGAAATAAAAGGGATACAAATGGGAAGGAACACATCAAGATCTCTGTTTGTAAGGGACATGACACTATATTTAAAAGACACTCCCCAAAAATCAGAAACTTGATAACTTTTTCAGCAAAGCAGCATGATACAAAAACCAACACACAGTTTATTTTCTGTTCACCAATAGTGAACTAGGCATGAAAGAAATATCACAATATTTTTCACATTCACAATAGCTTCAAAAAAAATACCTAAGAATCA